GGTCCATCCACGACGTGTAGTGACCGAGATGAGCGTCGGGATTGGAAGTCCTGTCATAAAGCCCGATCTGTGGGACTTTAATTTTTCCAGGTAGAGGACCAATTATCAGCTCGGGTGCCAGCGGGGAGTCGATTTCTATGTACACTTAACCGGGTTTCGAGGTGTGGAAATTTGGCAGGGACCTGACTTGAGTGGTGCGCCGAGCTTCGAGTTCCGCAACTCTTCTTCTCAGCGCCTCCACCTCCAAGGTATCGCGTCTTGCTGACCGGTTCCTTTCGATTTGTTGCCTCAAGTAGGCCGGGTTTTTGGGCTGCTGAAACAACGGCCGAATTGCAGCAGCGACCCTTCTGGCGTGCCCGGAGTGGCTCTCTGTCGTCATCTGCTGCATGTTCATTTCCGCAGAGCGGTGACCCCCGTCGGAGGACCCTGTGGGTTGTTATCACGCGGATGAGAAGTCGCGTGTGACGCGGCGTGGTTATCGTTGCGTCTCTGCATCCGCTGGACCCATTGCTTTGCCGGGGTTATCGGGGTCAGAGATTGTCCCGGCACCGCTCTGGAGGTTCTCGGCATAGTTTGCACCAGCAAAGCGGTGAACCCTCGAGCGAACTCCGTGTTTTGGAAGAGTGTGGCTATGTCCGACATCGTTGGTATTGCGGGAGTACGACCAGCGGATTGGTTAGGGTTGCAGTTGGCGCTGCCCCTGGTTGTTTGATCTTCTTGTCCCGATTGAGACATGTTCTTGTGAGTAAGGTGGAAGTGACGATTGAACAGTGCTCTGGTTATTTGCTGGATTCGAAAGTTAACTCCAAATATCTTATGGAACCCTTCCTATAGCACCAAATTGTTGATATACGGATTTAACAATGTAATTAAAACGAAATAACCGAGATAAGTTGCAGAAAGTAGGACTTTTATTAAGTCTTTTGAAGTCGGTTTTACGATACAAGAGGTCGTTTTTCGATGCAACCGAGGTGTTTAATGCTAGAATTTAATGTGTCGGACCAAGATCCTCGTATTGAATTTAATACAGCTATTTATAGCAACATTCGGCTCGCCTTTTGAGGGGATTCGACGGCCTTTAATGCGAGCTGACAGCATGAGACTGGCTACCCTGTAGGTGGGGCCGCGGGCAATGATAAGGATATGGGCATTTTGTCAGCAGATTGACGGACGTCATATCCTTGTTGGGAGGAAGTCGGGTCTGAGCGACCTCGGGTCTTCCTCTAGGTCGGTAGATTATCTATATATATTAAGACATCGGGCTTTCTTTTGTTTGCCTCGTTTCGCACTTCTTGAAGTCGGTTTACCCCTTGTTTAACTCTTCACTAATTCTGAGTTTCCTTTGTCGGTCCACGTGGCGCGCCTTTGATAGATAGCTCGAATTTGGTATCAACACTTAGGTTGCGTGTGTTTATCATATTCGATGTGTGTTTAATTCGCAACCCATTAGTAAAATGTTTATCATCGTATCGTTTCTACCAACCCAGTAAGTACTTGCATATATGCCGATGTCATGATATGTTATTATATTAGTTGTTTATTCAGTGCCGGTTCCGGCGGAGCACCGTTGATTATATGTACTCACGCCTCCCCACTAACCATTTTTCAGGTGACGTGGTCGAGCGTAAAGCGTGAGCCGAGGAGTGGTGATGGTCATAGCGAGGATATTTTGATATGAACATGTCATGTATATTTGAACATGTTCGAATTATTATGTTTTGCATTTGCATGCTTATATTTGCTTCCGCACTCAGAACAGAATCAGAATTTAGTTTATGTATGCCTAAAATCCTGAGATTTTCATGGAGCCTTATTAGAGTAATGATTTATATTTCGGTTGCATGCATAATTGTAAATGAGAACAGAAATGAGAATTCAGTTCAGTTGAGTAGCATCCCGCAGTCAGATTAAATTGAGTTTTCAAAAATTAAATAAGTGTTTTTCCATTTATAGCTCGAAAAATTTACTTGATTTTAGTAAGTTTAGGCGGGGTGTTACAGTGCACATGTGTATAGTTTGGACTTATGCAACTAGAACTCTTTTCTTGCCTAGAACACAATATACTCGATCATACCAATTACTTCTCTAGCTACAACCCGTGGACTTTACACACTCGAATTCCTCGACCAAACCAACACTTAATCTCTAAGTACTAAAACAAGGTATCTGAATAAAATATGAGAAAACGAATGAAAAAAAAAACTCAGTTCCTCGATGGCGTAAGAACACCGAAGAACTGAATATCAAAAGAAAATCTAAGAACAAAAGTTTGTGAACTCTCAATTGAATGCTCGAATGATATTCGGATTATGAAACTCTCAGCAACATTCAATCGATCTTCAAGATGGGTATAAGTAGATTCTTCAATTAGCTACTCCTTTTCCTTCAGGATGATTTCCTTCCAAGTATAGTTGTTTAAACATGGCAAGTGAATATTGCCTCCTCAATCTTCCTGGATCATCTTTCCAAGCACGTCGATCGTCATCTCCATGCACACGTCCAATGCCTACAAACCTATAACCAAATGAGATCATGCAAAACCTTCGCAATATGCATACGGTATAAAAACACATAATTAAAATAAATGAAAATCTTCCATTTTAATTTCCTTTTGCTTGCAAGGCTAAATCTTCAATATGTTATTTTTGAACTTCTTTCCAAAAATAAATCTTTCATTTTTATAATGCAAATTTAAAATCTGCTCAATCGAACTTTATTCAAAATCATCTCATTTTAATCAATAAATACAATCAAAATTAATTTTATTTATATCCAATCGACTAACTATTTTTACCCGTATTTCTACCTTGAACTATTTAAGAAAAAAAAAGGTAAACTTGAAGTGTAAAAAAAATTGCTGACACGATACAAAAATGGCACAACGACAATGTACCATCAGGTGTATGTGTGGTACCCATGGTTTACAAAACCAGACCGGACTGGCCGGTTCGACCGGTTCAACCGGGAACCGACAATGATACCGGTCCGGTTTGATGTATAAACCCATTGGGAAGGAAAACCGGCTGCAAACCGTCAGAACTGGTCAAAAATCCAGAAAACTGGAAAACCAAGAACGGTCGGCCTGGCCCAACGGTTTTCAACTTTGGTGGGTAAAAAGGAAAATCGAAAAAAAAAAAATCCGTCCTAGTAGATCGCCTCCCACCGCGAAAACACCGAGATCCACATCGGCGACGCCGTTTGCAAGCAGAAGTCGCTGGAGCTCCAAGAGCGGATGCACCTCCCTGCGCGGCATTCTCCCGCTCGACGACATCCTCGAGGTTGGCTACAACGAGGCCATCGGGTTCGTGTGGCTGCGACAAAGGAAGGGGATGAAGAGAAAGGGGAGAAAAATAAATAAAAGTAATAGGGAGAAATTTGGGAATGATTGGAGGAATTTGGTTTCAGCTTTTTTTAATTTTGGGGGTGTTGATTTTCAATGGGAGTTGATTTTTAATTTCATCTTTTTCTACTGTAGGCGTAAACCTTACGCCAATAAAGTATGTAGTCTCGACTCTCGAGATTGGAATTTGGAAAATTGGTGAGAGATTTGAGGAAATTAGGATTTTTGGATTACATATTGGAGTTTTTCTGTGGTTATTATTTGGGTCAGCCCTGGCCCAGGGCGACCTGGGCAACAACCCAGGGCCCAATTCAATAAGGGGCACCAGGCCGACCCATTTGTATTGTTCCTTTTATCTAATTTTCATTTTATTTCGAAAATAGAAAAAGAAAAATAATTAAAACCAGCCCAATTCAAGGGCACCCACATTTATTGCAAAAAAACCTCTCTCCAATATTAAAAGTAATTAATATTGTCTTCTTACTTTTTCTCTTCCCTACTAGTAATCAATCTGTGCATTTGCACAGGGAAGAATACATTAAAAAGATAACAATATAAAAAAAAAATTCATAATTTAATTTATGAAAAAAATATAAATTAAGAAAATAATTCTCAAAATTGATTTTGATCAAGTAATTGTTATGGTAGAGCCGTTACAACCATTTTCTTTATGCTAATACACTCGGCCATTTTTATGAGTGGGTGTGACTTAAAATTTGAGTACAGTTTTGTAACTTTCTTAATTGGTTTATGCTCATAATTTATGGCATTCAAGCAAGTTATTTTGTAACTTAAAAATGAAATTGAATGTTGAAAATTTTGGAGGGAGAATAAAATTTAATGCATGAAAATAAAATTCAATGCTTTGTTGCTCCTCTTTATATATATATATATATATATATATAACATTTTTCTACTCACACGAGACACTACCCCCTCTCTCTCTCTCCTATATTATATGTTATATATTATTGTATTATTTTAAGTACCCTATTTATCTTATTTACTTTTGAAAAAAAATTATTTATAAGTTTAGATATCAATTATTTTATAAGTTAAAAAAAACTATTAAAAATTATATTATTTTTTTATAATAATTATAATTATTTTATAGTTTAGACTTGCTTCACTAATTAAAATTTTTTCAATGAAGCTTAAAGTTTGTTTAATGAATATTTAAACATATTTAGTAATATTTAATGAAAACAGACATTATCTTTTAGAATGTAACATCATCATGTCTTTATCTTTTATGGGTGCAATGATTTTCTATTAATGTATCTCCTTGTACTTGCTAGCTTTTTTTATGAGGTTGCATTTTTTTTTAGATTATATAACTCTATTATTTATTTTTTTTAAAAAAAGGATTATGAATTCTATCAATTTTTTGTTAAATAATATTAGGGCATTATTTTTGTGCTTGGCCCAGGGCCTTATAATTCTCAGGACCGGCTCTGGTTATTATTGCACACTTAAATTAGTAATACATTATAAAATTAATAATACGTATGTGCAATTATGTACTAATATTACATATAAAATAAATAAAAATTTATATATTAATTAAAACCGGTTCGATCGATCTGACGAGTGGTCCGACCAATAAACCATGGAACCGGTAACTTCACCAGTTCGATGACTGGTTATGAGAACCTTGGTATTACCATATGACGCGGCCAACTTTGGATGTCAACCTTACACCAAGCGAGAGAGAGAGCTGCTTCATCAATACATCAATGACGTCAGTCATCACTCTCACACTTAAGCTCGTAACCTGATTAGCTGAGGAGCGGAAACCTCCATAGATTTGTATAATTATATTTCTGTACATATTTTCATCCCAAAGATGTCCTCCGACGACACCTCTTCCACTTCCCTCACCATCCCCACCGTCCCACTCCTCCGCCCCCGGCGGCCGTCCAACGCCGCCTCGGACCGCCCTTCGGCGCTCTCACTTCTGCTGTCACATGCCGCCTCCACCACCCAGCGGCGCGGCGGCGCCTCTATGGTGGTCCGGGAGACCGCCGCCCGCGAGCTGGAGGAGCGCCGCGCCGATTGGGGCTACTCGAAGCCTGTTGTGGCCCTCGACATCATGTGGAATATGGCTTTCGTGATTGTGTCCGTGATTATGCTGATTTGCACAGCCAAGGAGAAGCCCCATGTGCCTATTAGGGTTTGGGTATGCGGGTATGCCCTCCAGTGTCTGGTACACGTAGTCCTAGTTTGGGTGGAGTACAATAGGCGGAATTCCGGGCAAGAAGGGAACATACTTGGCGGCGGGAGTAGAGAGGATGAATTTCAGAGTGAGGATGATGAAGGGAATGATGTCAGAAGCGGGCTCATTGGTAACTCTAATGCCTCTAGGTGAGCCGATTTTTTTCTTTTAGGATAAAGTACCGATGATAATTTTTATGCCTGAGGATGGGTGCTTTGCTTGTTTTGATTTTTTTTTAATGCAATTTGGAAATATTCATGAGTTTTCTGATCATTTCATACTTTATATTACTACTGTAAGCATATGAAGTTTTGAATCAGGGGGTGTCTGTTTAATGGGGGTGATATGGTTTCTTAATACCAGCCAATCATCTATACAAATTGAGTTCTTTTGCGGTTCCCGTCCTGAGACACATTTTTGGGCTTATAAGGTTGATGAAAATACTCACTTGTGTAATCTGAAATGAAAGGGTTTACTGTTCACAATGCATGACCTGAAAATTCTGGATACCGCACCTGTTGTGGTAGCTTTAAAATTTTAAAGTTGAAGGTGATGATTTTTTTTTTTGTTGTTCTATCAGTATCTATTTGTCCATTGCAAATGGAGCTGGAAGAGTCATTGTTGACAATTCTCCTGGCATAGTGTGCTCATAGTGCTAATAATGGACTAGATCAAAATGGCTCAATTAAATTCTAGTGCTTCTTAGTGAAGTTTCTAGAAAAAAAAAAAAAATATCAAACGGCGCAATGCACCTTGGGTCGCTACGGAAACAACCTCCTTGTATAATTACAAGGGTAAGGTCTGCGTACAACAGACCCCCCAGACCCCCCAGACCCCAACCTGTTGGGAATATACTGAATATATTGGGTATGTTGTTGTTGTTGTTGTTGTTCTATCAGTATCTAGGTCTTTGTTGATGTTACATCTATCAATATCAATATCTGTCCATATTTGCTCTGATGAAGTCTCGTGCTTGGTCTAATTAAACCATATTCATACGTGTAATGTGAGTAATGGGAACGTGTAATGTATATTATCATGATATATGCCTTCTCTTTGTGAGATTGTGGAAAGGTGGAATACATTTTGATTAGCCAGTACATTTTCCGGATTGTATAAAGACTATTAAAACACTCTTTTCTCTTCTCTTATTTTCACAAGGAAGCTAGATATGGTATCCTATACCTTTTAGTTTTGTTTTCTGAGGGAGTCTTGTTTGGAGAATTTTGCTTCTTAACTATCAGTTTCTTGATGCCGAAACTTTTAGTTGTATATCAAAGTCCAGCAGATGTTTGAAAATCCTTAATTCACTTTTTTTGTCAAATTTTCATGGAATCTCAGTAGGGTAAAACGATGTGAATCTGTGAACACAGTGATCTCTTTTCTATGGTGGATAGTTGGCTTCTACTGGGTGGTTTCTGGCGGTGAAGCTCTTTTAACAGGTGCTCCACGTTTGTATTGGTAAGTCCAAAGCCCTACCGGTTTAATGCTTCAGTTTGTACTGTTCTTTCTGCTATAGTACTGTCGGCCAATTCTATCTTTTATTACCTTGAAGATTGTTTATCGGTATGAGTTATGTGTGGAATGTCATAAACTTTGTCGCTTACTTATGACTTCCAAACATTATTTTTGAAAATGCAGCCTAATTTTTGTGAGGCAATATTTTCTTTTATTCTCATATTAAAAGTACATGATAGAAGTATATTGCTATGTATGTCAAGCTAGACCCTTGCTACAGCATGTTAATTCCTATCTCTGGGGACTAGGGATTTGACACATCGTCTCAATTGTGGAAACATGTCCAGCGTTTTGCAATGATCAATGATGACAGTGTACACTCGATAAAAGAGACTGTTATAACAAATTATAATTCTAAGGAAAGCAACTGGTGGTGTATTTCATGCAATTTAGCACATGGTACATGTGTTCCTCAAATTAAGAAGAAAACATTCCAGCATTAATATGATCCCAGATCCATGTCAGGCTATGCTACAGGCGTATTAAAAGCTTAAATATAAACAGCTGGTGGATCCTTAGGGGATATTAGCTTAATAAAAGCCACTATATATTCCCTTTTGTTAGAAGCAGTAACAAACCTTTGGCATGAGCTGCTTGTATATCATGAAATTGTGTGCCATTAATTTGACATTATCATCACCTGAGTTGAACTATGGTTGTGCATCCGAAATGTGTATCACCGACCATTTTCTACTAAGTAGTATCACCTACCATTTCCTACTAACTAGTCCTTGAATTTGATAACCATTATATGTAAAGTAACTTGATAGATTCTTTATTAATAAATGGTTTTCCAATTATAATATACATACATTGTAGAAAACATCATCATACATAAGCCAGTCCCTGTATTTAAGGTATCTCTATTAGGTTTGTCTGTATCTTTTGGTATGAGTAATCGACCATGTATGATACTTGATTCTCTGTGGCAGTAGAAACAGAGTACGTGTATCACAAGAAAGCTGGCTCAAACAGCTGCTATGAACATTACGTACAGTGAGAACAAATTTAACCTTCCTTTATTTGACGAAACTTCCATAAGCAATTTGTGACCACCATTCTTAAACTGAATAAAACTTCGTTACATGCCTACTATTAAGTGAAAGGATGACGAGTACCTTCCATCTACTTATCAGAATCACAAGCAAAAGAGAGGAAAAGAAGATGGGTTACAACTCAAACCTAACGCCGCACTGAAACTTTTTTATTATCCATCTGTGATCTTGCATTTACATTGGTTAGGAAGACTTAGTGGTTGAAAGAGAATATTTATTAGGCATCATGTATGAGATTCAGAATTGTCAACATTGTTAGTCTGCCGGTCCATGACAAAGTAAAGAATTTTTGTGGATTAAATTTGCATGATATGGGGATGACAGTGATCTTTTATTGGCATGTAATGTTGGTTCTCTTTTGTTAAATATCGTCAATGCATATTCAGCTGATTCAAGATATTTCTCTCCATTTTGAAAGATATTATTAGCTGAAAAAGAAAATCCGACGGATCTCTAATCTTGGAAGTTTCTGCAGGTTGGCTGTGGTATTCTTGGCGTTTGATGTAATATTTGCCATATTTTGTGTTGCCTTAGCATGTCTTATCGGGATAGCCCTTTGCTGCTGCTTGCCTTGCATCATTGCAATTCTTTATGCTATTGCTGGCCAGGTATGGTATAATTATTATAGAAATTAGTAATTAAAGTAACTATCTGTCTGTTTGGAATGCTGTAGCCTTAGGGATCTCCACTTTCTGATGCAGGAAGGTGCATCAGAGGCCGACTTAAGCATCCTTCCCAAGTACAAATTTCAAGCTTCCAAGGACGAAGAAAGAGTTGACTTTGCAGCTGGCACTATGGTTCCTATAGAAACTAGTGGTGGGTACATGCCCAACGAGCGAATTCTTTCTCCTGAAGATGCAGTAAGTTCCCCGTATTTCGATTTGTATATTTTATGTTTTCCCCATAAAAAAAAGTGTCCCTTCCATGATTCTTGATTCCATTAGGCCCCCCTTTGCTAGAAGGGAAGGGATATGAAACGTCATCTCCAACCACAAAACTCATTTTGCAGTCACATCAAATAATAATTCATCTCCAACCAAAAACTCATTCTCAAATTCAAAATAATATTCTCTTTCACATTAACTTTTTCAAATTTTCACTCTTACCCACACATTATACAACTTTAAAATTAAACCACTATTATTTTAAATTTAGTTAGGCACCTCCCAACCAAGAAGTCAGAAAATATTGTCGACCTATTCGACATGCGACCTCGGCTGCCTTCACCTCCTCCCGATGGCTGATCTGCTCAGCAATCTCCTTGTCTTTCGCCTGAGGTTGTCGACGTGTTTCCGACCTATCTTCGCCAACTCCTCAGGTCGTATTTGTTGTTGATTAACTCTTTGTTCTCCTCCCGCATAACCGGATTACCTTCTTGGAGGGTTTGATAGGAGGGACGAGAACCGCCTAAGGCCTCATTGAGCTTGAGGACAAAGCCGGAGAGAAGCTGTGGAAAATAAGAACATTAAGGAGAAATTTACAATATAACCTACGCATGGAAATTAAAGAATAAGTTATACCTGAGCAGCACTGTGGGTGACGTAATCCGTAATCGATCTTGGTGATTAGACCCCCAGCGTTGGGTTTCCTCAGAAGGTATAACCTTATGAGGTATGAAGTGATCGGCGCCCCATCAGGGTTTGTGGCAAAAGTCTTGGGTGCCTCGACCTCAATCTGATCGACATGGGCCTATTTTGGGTTCGTCCCACCAATGATTGAGCCCGACCTCTAGCGGCTGGGCACTTTCTCAGGAGGAGGGGTAGATCCCTTGGACTTAGAGGCCTGTTGGATGGGGCCAAGCTCGGAAAGAGGCCCCTCAGTTCGACCTTCTCCAAAGGTTACTGGAGCTTTCTCCTTTTCGTTGGAGGTGGAGAAAGTAGGCTTGGTGGATTTGAGCAAGTTTTCTGCTAGAAATAGACAAACAATTTAGATTACAACAACGTAAACATCGCATAAATGAAATAACTCGAGTGTAATCCTACCAAGCTCACTTCAGTCAGAGGAGGACACTCTCTTGGCAAGACCAGTGATATAGTAGTTGTTCATTATCGACGTGGGGAACAAGAGACGGGAGAACTGTTCCACAACTCGATAGACTTGTCAAAACGGGCTGAGGCCCGCGGGCTGGTCCACCCCGCCCTGCCAAAAGGGTGGGCTAGGCTGTGATATAAGAGGCCCGTTGGGGAGCGGCCTAAACTGGTCCGCGAGCTGGCTTGCCTTATTTAAAAAATATATATAAATATATTAATTAGATTAATAACGCCTATTTGCTCTTTAGCCACTCACTCTATACTTAATCCTTTTTTAACTTTTTGGCCCAAACCCTCTTAATATACTAGCCCAACATCTCATAACCTACTAGCCCAAACAAACAATTAAATACGCACGCTCAAAAATCTGACGAAAAGTAAAATTCTCCCTCTCCTCTCATCACTCGCTGCTTCTCTTCATCTTCTTGCTCACGTCGCGAGTTTTTATTTTTATTCTTTCTTTTGTTAATTCTAGATCACACACAAATTCTTCTCATAGCACATAACTCACAAAAAGATTCTACACTACAAAACCCCTAAAAAAATTTCTAGAATACGAAACTCCTAAAAAAATTTCAAAAGTTCTTTCTTGTCTCCTCTGTTCGCCTTTTGTTAATATGCTCATCTTCTCCGTCCTCCCGTTCTCCTCCTCCGCCCACCCAGCCGCTCATCTTCACAATCCTCGATTTTATCATGTTGTCTGCCTATTTTTTTTTTAATTTTGACGGGCCAGCCCGCCTAGCCGCGGCCCGTGGCGAGGGTGGGACGGGCTGGCATTTCAAAGACCCGCCAGGATGGCTGGCCGGCCCGCCCCGCCAAACGGCGAGTTTCAGCGGGCTACGGGTTGGCTCGCCTCGCGAGCCCATTTTGACACGTCTACAACTCGATAAGAAGGTTGAAAGTAAGATTGAGTTCAGGAAGAGAAAGTCTAAGAGGGAGAGAGGTACGTCAAATAGGAGAAATGCGGAGACCGGTAGAAGGGCGAACAAAGAAATAGTGGGTTTGTCAATCGACAATGGTAGAAGGGAGGTTATCGATGAAATTGACACCTTTACAAGTTGCTAAGTACAAGGTGCCCTACTATTTGGCTACGCAACAATAAAAGAAAAATTTACGGTCGATGTGGCCTACCTACAAAAATAAAGGATATGGCAATGACATGGAGTTTGGGGATAGCTGGATGAGAGGGAAGTCGTAAATATCACATAGATTAGGAAGTGTTCACTTGGGGGAAACCTAAGACTAGGGAGTATGTTGGGGAATGACATCCAAAGAAGAAGATGAAGAAAAAGAAGGAGAAGAAGAGGTCGCAGAGGAGGAAGAACTCATATCTCCGCCAAACGAGGCATCACTAGAGTCGCTGGTTGTGCGGGAATCTAAAAAAGAAAAAAGAAAGAAAAAAAAATAAGTATATGTTTGAGGGGGTGAATCAAAGAAAATGGTTTGAGGAGCAGGCGTGTGAAAGGAAGAAATTTGAACAGAAAATCGAGCATGAAAATTAATTAACAGAGAAATAAAGGAGAGATACTTACTCGTCGACATGGCTAAGGCTTGTAATTGAAAGTTGAAAACAACCCCGTATCGTCATAGGATTGCTAGGACGTGGGTCTTTGAAACTTGAGAGATTATATTGCAGAGAAATTTTCGCAAAGATTGAAATGCTGTAAAATTTGGTCAAGGATCCTATTTATAGTCAAAGGAAGAAGGAAGGGCAAAAGGTCGATTGATCCCGACCGTTGGATTGAGGTCGAAATGGACAGAAGGGATCACGAGATTAAAAGGGCTAGTTAAAAGGACGAGTCAAGTAAGACCATTGGATCGGGGCATAAATGACGGACAAGATTGAAAGGGGTAAGCTGATAAGACATCTTTGTTATGACTATTGGATTAAAGGGAAATCGGATGTACGAAATTAATTGGAGCCTTGAATGTGTACACTGCCTGAGGATAACACGGATAGCGAGGCTGTTACGTCGTGAGGACGTCATGCTAAGTGAAGAGACGTCAGATTGACTTGACAATGTTTGAAATTTGAAATTCAAATTTTGAGCTCCAGAAGAGTAGTATAGGGTCGAGGCGATTTTACTGATTAAATAAAAGGAAACATGAGTTGAGAGGTCGATTAGTGAGGCTGTGAGCTCAGCAAGTGGGACCAAAGACAATCGAAGTTACTCTTAAATCGTGTTATCATAACCTATAGGGAGACCAGATGATATGCGGGTCGACTCGACTTGAGAAGCGGTCTAACCTAATCAGACGAACCGACAGGTCGATCGAAGATCGAGGATATTGGAGGTCGTTGGAGCTGTCGATGGTGATGTCCATGGTGATTCTACAGGTCAAGTTAGAGCCGAGGGCTAGTAGAAACTCGACCTCAAGGTGGAGGTAGGACATAGTGCATGAGCACAACGAGAAGATAATCTAGCTCGAGGGAGGCCGAGTTTGTCGTATGATAAGACCGTCTAACAAGACTAGACTAATATCTAAGAAACAATATAATTAAGATAAGAACCACACGTGCATTGAACCACGTAGCCTAACAGAATTGAGAAATTCAGGCACTCGGGCAGTACGAACGAACGGTTCGGGCACTCGAGCAGCTCATGGGCAGTCTTGTGTAATAAGGTAACAACCTTATATAAAAGTGTGAGGTATGTCTATTTAACCTCTACACACTATTGCATAACTATATTGTTACTGTTTATCGTCTTCTTCATACATTTTTTGACTTGATCGTCAGAGGCTCTACGTCGGGATTACTCCCGTCTCGACGCTATTTTGCATGTCTTTGAACCGGACGTGAGCGGATCCAATGTCATTAAAGCCGGTCAAGGTTGTTTTGCACACGAAAGACGAAAGACGAAAAATAAGTATTCATTAATTTGTTTGAAAAAACATGTATAAAATTAATTATAAAGTATTTGAATTTATAACCAATATTTTATAGATTGTTCTTCTTTATTCATATTTTATTATATAAATATTTTTAATCGATAATTTAATTCAAGATATTTTAAATACTTTAGAACACATTTCTTGGATTGAATTTATTATCATATATGCATGCCATGATAAAAAAAAAAAACTAATGCAATACTATTTGGTTTGTAATTTTATAATATTATTTTAATATTAAAAAGATTGTAATAATGTGTTTTGCTATATAAAATTATTATATAAATTATATATATATATTATAAAACTAAATATATGTTATGTATATAATATAAATTACATTAACATGGGTGCATTATATAAATGTATGGGTGGTTTCACTAGTTCTTGCAAGTTTTTGAGGTTCGATTGGAACAAAGATTCCATCCTTTGCGTTTGAGGTTCGGTTGGAACAAATATTCCATTTTTTTTGCATTTGCTCTTGATTCAATGATCAGTTGGCGTTGGTCTAAGTTTTTTCCAAGAAAGGATGGTACTACACTGTAGAGGATAGGATTATACCATAAATTAGTAGGTTGTTTGAGCATTTTAATCACACCAGTGCTTAACTCCGGCATTAGAATTTATTTATTTTTGTTTGGACACTTGATAATTCCAGTGTCAAACTTGGACAGGCTTTTGTGCCCCTTGTTTACAAATTAGTGACTCAAACTTCAAGCACCAGCCATTATTGTTATGAAGAAAAAGGACAAATTGTCCCGCGTGTCTTAGCAAACAGCACATTCATCAGAAAAATAAGATGGGATGAACATTTGTACCCCATTTATTTCTTCAAGTGGCATTCAATTTGTTAAACTTTGCGAAATTAATGAAACTCTTGGCTAATTTGAATATGCAAACACAGATCTTCAAAATTGACTAGCCCAGTTAAATTGCATGAAAAAGAGGCTAAAATGTGAAGCACAATGACGATGTCATACTATCCTGTTTGTTTGAGTGGGGATTTTTTGTGACATTAACGAGTATTTTCAGAATAATCGAATGTATTAAAAAATGCTCATTTCGTTGAAAGCTGAGGATAATGGCATGTTGAAGCTTCGTGCAGGAAAAAAAATTCAAATTGTAGTTGTATCTTCCAAAGGTCCTATTTGTCTTCTTATCCCCTGAATTCTCCCTTGTACTCATATATGCAGCTTAGGGCTTTTTGTCCATCGTTTATGTCAATTATCCTGACTACCCAACTAATAATCGACGAGAGCGAACTGGGCACCGTGAGATTCTCCTCTTCAGGGTTAGAGATGTATGGCAATTTGTAGGATCCTTAGTGGTTTTTCGATCAGTACTCAATTTGAGGGTAGTGGTGTCCATTATTTTCTCGGTGAAAAGATGGGAAAACCAATCACATATTAGTTGGTGGAATCCATATTCAAGGTTTTGAGTGAATTAGTATTGGCCCTCTTTCCATTCGGTCTTTTTTCATTGTGCACAAACAAGAAAAGGGCTGATTATGGGGTTTTCTCCCTTCATTTCAGGGATGGCAGACGAGGCCTTACTTTCTGTTAGTATTTATGATTATCCTGCTTTTAGCATTTTCATGTCTTTTTGTTCATCAAAATAGAAGCAACAAATTTTCACTACGAGGAGGTGGTGTGGTGGCATTTGGCCTTTGCCTATTAGAGGCAAGGTCAAGAATTTTATCAACACCAGTTATTATATGTTTTCGCTTTGTTCTAATAAAAACTGCCTGTTCTGACAATAATAATTATCAAAGAAAAAACATTGCCAAAAAAAAAAAAAGTGGTTAGCTCATGCCTTTCTTGAGATATAAATTTGTTCACCCAAACTCACTCTTACCATCTTAATATGGTACCTAGTTACAATGCCAAGTTGTTTATCATTTATTTAGCCTATCTGTCATAGCACGAGTGATGTGGTAATAAAGAAGTTTAAATTTCCAGGAATGCTGTATATGTCTCTGTACATACGAGGATGGGACTGAATTGCATGCTCTTCCATGTACCCATCATTTTCACTCGACATGCATTGTAAAATGGCTTAAGATGAATGCCACATGCCCGCTCTGCAAGTACAGCATCCTCAAGGGGAATGATCAAGTTTAAGTGAAGAAAATCACGCCTGTTGGTTGTGATATTTTGCTTCGACCATGTTTTTGTTTGGATTTTTGTGAAATTCAGTGCCTTAATGCCGTTGGTTACCTTTATACTTGTGGTAATAAAGTGGGAGTATCTTTCCTGTATATGGTAATCGTCTCGGCTAAGCTTTTTATGATCAGTCTTGCTTCCTCATATAAATCTT